TCTATCTATCTATCTATCTATCTATCTATCTATCTATCTATCTATCTCTCTATCTCTCTATCTCTCTATCTATCTATCTATCTATCTATCTATCTTAAAGATCAGACAGTTCATGAAGATATTTGTGCTATATAAAAACACATAATCTACAATTTGTACTTCTTTTCATTGTATATTTTGCATTGCTTTGCTACATTGGTGTGAAATAAATAAAATCCTGAAACATATAACTTAGCTAATCCATATCAGCGCAGGCTACTACACAGGGTGTCAGGGGAGCAATACAATAGAAGCTTTTAGCTTGTCGCACACGGCCAGTTACCAGCGGGGTGCTGCCCTGACAGGGAGCTGAATATTGTTCTTGGCACTGGAACCATGAGAGAGTAGAGCAGGAGAGCGAGGAAGCCTGTGATATGCCATCATTTTCCTGCTCAGGGCTCCTCCATCAGGATACGGGTGAGGTCAAAGGTGCAATTGAGGGAGTTCATCAGCAGCAAAGTGTGCTGAAGTCATCTGTACAGAGTTATTCGTGGTGAGAAGGAAAGCAACTTACTCAGACACAAGACCTAATCAGATTTCTAAGTAAACACAGTGCTTGTCGGCTCTGTGGGCTGAGTCCATTGTTGTTAATTGCATCTGTCTTCATTTTCCTCAACTCACTGTACAACATGAACAAAACTGAAGTCTCAATGGAATACAAACTTTTTTGAAACCACAGAGTGTACCTCAATGTTACCTCAAGTTTTAGTTCATAACTGTTCATTTTAGAGATTGCCAGCCCTGATTGCTTCTGTCAGAAGTCAAAATAAAATGCCTGTGAAGTGTTTCTGCTGGAATATTTCTTTTCTTTCCCATCATATATGGAGAGTGAAAAGGAAAATATATGTATGCTCGCCTTGTGTGCCATATGTGGGGGCTTCCAAAGCATGGAAACCTACATAAGCACCAGTTAAGTAGCACAATTTGGGTTTACAGATGGCTGCAATTGATCTGCCATACTGTGACATTTCTGTGCAAGAGAGCTTCTCCAAGTTAAACAAGTGCCCTATGTCAAGCGGCTTGTTTCTTTCTTTCTTTTCTTTTTTTACCACCATCCAGCTGCATCTCAAAGTCAGAAACATTGTGTTCATGTAGGGCTTTCACCCTTGCGTCTGGAAATCCTGAGACACCCCCACCCCCAAGTTGGTGTTTATTGCAGGTCATTTTTAGGGCCCTGGCCCTCACAGGCACCTTGGCAATCAGGGGAACCCCTCTAAACCCCATAGGACAATATGTGATTGTTTTAATGTGGTTCTTTGGTATTTGGTGCTCCAACAAAACTCCAACCACATATCTACTGACTGCCATGTGCAGACTTGAAAATTACAAGCACACTGATTGCCAGAGCTGAGTTTGAACTTAAACTCTGCGATGCAGACTGTTATTATTTGTTTCCCTGAAAGAAATTATGACATTTTATCTTTCTGTTTCTGAGTTTGCCCATTGCTGATGAAGTCAGGCTGTTTGAGAATATTAGTGTATCAAACTTTTCCTGTTGTCTTTTCACAAGAAGATATTAAGCATGTAAGCGTAGGCTCTGTGCAGAGAGCTGCAGTCAATAGGACATTACATATCTGATATCCTGTGTAAGCAACTTTGTGCATCAACAGGTGAGCAATGTGGTAACAGAGAAATGTGTAAGGACGAATTCACAGTGAGGAAATGAGACCCACAGAGGGTCCAGAGGGAGACCAGGACAGTATGGTAGATGTGCTGGGTAAGCATATTTTTATATGTGAAATATATTTTAGGCTCAGTGGACTATGGAATCTAATCCTTTGATGGGAAATCAAATAAAAGGTACAAAATAAGGAGCAAAAGAATGACAGTGCCCTGTTGGTCACCATGCTGCAACTTCCTGAGTAATGAAGAAAATATAGGTTTACAGGAGCCACATTTATTTTGTTTTTCAGGCCAATGACATGCTCAACGTTGCCTTAAAAGTTACTGTGACATGAACTCAATTTAAATGCAAGTGCTGATAAAAACGGTTGGTAATCAATACTTGTTCGGCTGCTCCTTTCTGCAGGGCTGACACAGAAAAATGAACGGGCATGAAATATTTTGCAATTAAAAAAAAAATATTCCTGACATGGTCTGGATTCAAACCTGCAGCCTCAGGATAACTAGCTGTCAGCACTGACCACTGAGCCACTCATTGGTAATAGTTCCAAATGATTAGTATAATAAGTAAATTAAATTAAATGTTATCACCTCTCACAGCACTAAGAAATAAAATAAGAAAATATGTTTTTTTTTCTTCTTCCGAAAATATTATTGCTATGTATACAGATGAATAATAATAATAATAATAATAATAATAATAATAATAATAATAATAATAATAATAATAATAATAACAGCCTTATTTCGATTTATAAATCCTACAAATATAAAAGAGATTAAAAAAGTACCAAGAGATTTTATTAGAAATCAGATTAAGCTAATTGATAAGATTAAAAATTTTGCGCACATTTTTAAATGTTTGCATATTTTTTAGTACGTCTTCCCTTGGCACGCATGTGACGTAGTCACGCGTGTGACGTCACACGCGTGCGACGTAGATACGACGTACGTTCTCATCCGAGAAAACATGGCGTCCGTTTCAGAAATGTACGATGTTGGATGGGAAGGTAAGACGAAATATTTTTATTATGTGGGACCGGCAGGTCCCGGCAGGTTTTCAGAGTCATTTTAGGCATTTGGTTGTTTTTGTGCAGGAGGACAGCGTACAGTCCCGGCTGTCTCACTGACTTTAAACGTACCACCGAAGAAGTCAGCCCATGAAGTGGTTAGCGAATGCTAGTTAGCTTGGTGTGCTGACCCGTCAGTTATGGCTACAACTGCTAATACCAGACACCTACTCATGTATTCTGCCTAACTGATAATGATGTTTAAAGCAGCAGGGTGAGCATCAAGTATAAACATTGGTCTTCGGATTGAGGACGACATGTCCTGTCATGTCATGCTACAATGAGCGAGGCTAACAATTAACTGTATTGTAACTATTGCTGAGATGAGACAAAATAACTAGTCCATGGATTATTTTTACATAATGAATGGATCGAACTTGGAAAAATAAAACGAAAAAGATTTACACGAAGATTGTTTAGATTGGTGAATTAATAAAAAAAGTTATGGGAATTTTAGTCTAATAAAATTAAACACAACAACAAACGTTCCTTACACAAGGTGTTCACAAACAAGGTGTACCTTTAAGACTAATTGTTAGCATGATTAACTCTGTCACTTACAATGTTTCCAAATATCTGGCGTCTGTACTCATCCCTTTAGTTGGCAACTCAGAACACCACATACAGAACACCATGGACTTGGTGGACAAGGTGAGGGATGTCATCATGGAGACTGATGAAACAATGGTCTCTTTTGATGTCACATCACTCTTTACGTGCATTCCTGTTGAGGATGCAGTAGAGGTGGTCAGTTTAAAATTAAAATCAGACACCACTCTGAGCAGCAGGATCACGCTTTCCACAGAACAACTGTGTCAACTCTTGAAACTGTGCCTGCAGTCAACCTACTTCACATATGGGGAGCAATATTATAGGCAGAAACATGGGTGTGCTATGGGGTCTCCAGTTTCTCCTATTGTTGCCAACCTGTACATGGAGGAGGTAGAAAAGAGAGCCTTGACGTCCTTTTCAGGGACACCACCAAGTCATTGGTTCAGGTATGTTGACGACACCTGGGTTAAAATTAAATCTCAGGAAGTCCAACATTTTACTGACCACATCAACTCTGTGGATAAATACATCAAGTTCACACGAGAAGATGAAAAAAATGGCAAGTTGGCTTTCTTGGACTGTGAGGTCTCAGTCTCTGATAGAGGACATTTGCAAACCGAGGTGTACCGCAAACCCACCCACACAGACCAGTATTTGCAGTTTGACTCCCATCACCCTTTGGAGCACAAGTTAGGAGTCATCAGGACTCTGTATCACAGAGCAGACAGCGTCCCCACTAGCTCAGGAGCCAGGCAGAAGGAGAAATCCCACACAAGACAGGCTCTAGAGCAATGTGGATATCCTAACTGGGCCTTCCTAAAAGCAGAGAAGAAACCCAAACAGGACTCCAGTCAGCCAACAGGTGAAAAGGAGGAACCCAGACCCAGACCAGTGGTCATTCCATATGTTGAGGGAGTATCAGAGAAACTGAGACGTTTATTTTCTAAACATAACGTCCCAGTGGCTTTTAAACCCCAAAATACATTACGGCAAAGACTGGTTCATCCCAAAGATCCAGTCCCCCGGCACAAACAGAGCAATGTTGTGTATGCTGTTCAGTGTCAGGAGGGCTGTGATCAGTCTTACATCGGGGAAACAAAACAGCCACTGGCCAAAAGGATGGCCCAGCACAGAAGATCAACATCATCAGGCCAGGACTCTGCGGTCTACACTCATCTCCAGGCCAGCGGTCACTCTTTCAGGGATGAAGATGTTCACATCCTGGACAGAGAGGAACGATGGTTTGAGAGAGGAGTAAAGGAGGCCATCTTTGTGAAAAGAAACCGTCCATCATTAAACAGGGGTGGAGGCCTCCGGGTTCAACTGTCCCCCTCTTACAATGCTGTGATTGCTAGTATCACTCAGCCCTCTGTGAATAGTAAACAGCCATCAGTGTGCTAATGATCCATTGTTAGGCTGATGGTCCTTCTTGAGCATGTGATCAGCTGGTTTTGGTTGTCAGCAGCAAAACTGGTTGATCCACTCTGAGATGGTGCTATTTAAGAGACTGAGCTGAATACAGCACCTCACACTGAGGAAGTCTCTCGGATGAGAGACGAAACGTTTCTACATTTTTTTGTCGTTTTGTTTTGTTTTTTGAATGTCCAGAGGACCAGATTTAACTTTTTTAGATTTTTCTACCTGGATTATTGAGCATGCATCAGGAAACGTTCCTTACGTTTAACCTTGAAAACAGCAATAACAAAAAATAAAATAATAATAATAATAATCACGTGATCGACCTATAACAAACAACAAATGAACATAGCTAACTAATTTCTTGAGATAACTGAATGAAATTTACAGACATAAGAAATGAAATGTTCTTAAAATTGGCTACACGTATTCATAATTAATTAATAACAACAGTAAACTGTATAATCTAGAACTATCATGCCAACAAAATAAGCACTAGTACTCAAACTAGACGGGAAAAAGAATAATCAGGATCCAAGACACCATTTTTGCATCTGCTTCATGCTTCCTCCTATTCAGGGTCTTAAAAACCACATTCTCAACATCAGATTGTCATGAAAGTCAGTCAGTATTTTGATTAAAATATTGTATTTTAGTACTACGGACCTTTGATTGAGTTCTGTGAGGCCGAATGTCCTTTTTAAGCTTGTTGAACTAGCTTACTCCTCAACACCCATGAATTGCATGAAAAATGACAGGATCCATTCAATCAAACTCTGTGAAATAGTTACTTTCTGGCTGTGTCATACTTAAAGTTCAGAGGGAAATACCCCTCGGGGCCAATGAAAAGGCAACAATTCGAGGGAGTCTTATGCTCGCTATGCGCAACATGAATATACATGATGTAATCCCATATATGATAGCTGACTTATCGTTATCTTAGGACTGACTGCATTTATCCTCATTGACATCAGGTGTGAAGCTGAATCATATCTGAACAAGATAATCAGTGACCCACTACTGTAAATTCATTAAAGGTACTGGAAAACTGAACTGTGATTAAGCTAGTTTTTGTTTACAGTTGATTATTTTTGTCTACAGAGATGAGAGACAAGCTTCGTAAATGGAGAGAAGACAACTATAGAAACAGTGAACAGATAGTAGATGTTGGTGAAGAGCTCATCAGTGAGCATGGATCTAAACTGGGAGATGACAGTAAGTTCATTTAAACAACAACACAACACAATTTAATCAAGTCCAGCATCGGCATCACTTACTTACAAGTACTGTGTTCACAAGTTTACTTGCTCACTAACTCACTTTCTAGTGATCCCTTATGGTGATCACTATAAAGAAGAGCACCGTGTTTTTTGCATTTCAAACACCATTGGAACGCTGGAGTACTTCATATTCATGTGCAAAGTGTTCACAGTCAGCTGCCACATGAATAAATTACTGCAAGATACACTGGAATACACGCCTGAATGTGAGGTGATAATTTGGATAGTTTTGAATAATGTAACCATCTGTATCCGTAACACTAATTTAAAATGTATTTATACACATCTTACACTTTTTTTAATCTTGTTTTACACAAGCACCAACTGCAAACTTAACAATATCAAAACCTTCAGTAATCTAAAATTATGAATTATTTTACCTACAAAATGTTTTGGTACAGAACAACTGTTAAAAAAAAAGCCACACAACATTAGAATGGTTCAAATATGACTTGATTTACAACACATCTTAAGTATGTTTAATATTTAGACATTTTTTAAAGGATTAGTTCACATTTCTCACTATTTCTCAGCTCTGCAGCTTAAACAGATGAGTAGATGAGCTACATTTTATTAGAGCCATCTAAGTAATCACATTAAGAGCAGCGGACGTTAGCATTAGCCTGCTATATTGACAAGCTACATTATAGTGTATCTCCACTGACTTCAGGTACTACTTTTACTCTTAATATGATTAGTTTCCAGGACACTTTATGGTGGAAGAAAATTTACAGTTGTGATTCTAACATTACTGCAAAATGCCAACATGAATTATTTAGTGAATGAGTCAAGAGGTGAAGCACCCACACCTGCCTCCTCATCTGCCCCACTCTGGGCCCTTGAGCAAGGTTTTTAACCCCCACCATCTGCTCCCCCGTGCACCCTAGATGGCAGCTCTCTGCTCCACACAGAGGGCTGTGGCAGCTCGGTGGTCTGTGGTTGTGTCAGGAAGGACATCCAGTGCACAAACATCTGCCAAGTCTTTGTGCGAGTTAGTTCACTGTGGCGACCCCAGAAGAAGAAGAAGAAGCAGCTGAAAGAACAAAAAGTGAATGAGTCAGCAATTTGAACATGGCCAAACTGAGAAATTTAATTAGGTAGAGTCTGACTGTGTTTAAAACCTTAAAAAGTTGGACAGGATCATAATGTTAAGACAAACGTTTAAACCTATATTCAAACACGTTCCACATGATTAGTTGCTTTTATTTATAAGCAAAAATTTCGACCACAAATATGACTGCTGGTTAAATAAGACATATTGTTGAAAGAAGGATTGTAGTACTGTAAATATTGTTGTAAGTATTGCAACAAACATAATGCAGTGGTTCTCAAACTACTGATGCTACGGCCAATTTGAAGGCCTGCCTTTTTTAATTTCATTTTAGTAAATTTTTTTGTTAGTGAAAGAAATGAAGTTTTTTTTAGCAAGATTTGTGCTTCCCTGAAGAAGGGAACAGCTAAGAGAAGGGAAAATGATAGTTGAATTTCTTTGATTCCCCACAGATGTTTTTTCTTTGTTTCTTGTTAAATGAACTATCAAATTAAACTTTTACTTTGGTAGAAGAGACACCAAACCTCTGATTATTCAATCAATCAGTTAAAATGAGAGAGAAATAGAACTAAAAGCTCCACTCATCTTTAGAACCACTGTGTACAGACACCCCAAAATATATACCAGTATCGATATGATTTCAGCATTATCACATAGTAATAACTGTTGAGATTATTTTCACTCTTTTGTTTTTAAAAAGAATACAGTGCAATCTGTTTGTCAGGTATTTAGGATTTATTAAGTAGGATCTATTAATTAGCAGGATATATTAAGTAGCCTACCTTTATAAGTGAGGGCCGATGTCTTTTTATCACAGCTTTTTTTGCTCAGTGTTTTATCTTTACTGATGCAGATTTTTACAATGATTTTTCTGGTTTTTGTTTTCCAATTTTACTTTTAAAAAATCGTGACTTACTACTAGGGTGTGATGTTCCATTTTTGAAGTTCATACTTTCTGCTGACTGTGTTCAGACACATTAGTACGTCTTTATTAATATGTAGTAGGGGTGCACCGATAAATCAGCCTCGATTTCCTTAATTTGGGGAAATCGGAAATTGGCCAATACTTGCATGAGAAACCGATTTTACAGATTTTTTTAGTTTTAACAACAATTGTCTGAACTTCATTTATATTTCAGAGCACTACCTCATGGCCAGTTAAAACAAGTTTGTATTCTTTCTAGGATATTGTTCAAGGGTCTGTTTTTCAACAAAATAAGATTTGAAAATTGAAGGTGCGTGACCTTATAACACCTGACAGTGTCGCTTATGAAACGAATCATAATAAAGAATCGGCAGGTCAGACCTTTTAGAAATCGGTGATCGGCCAGAAAACTGCAATCGGTGCACCCCTAATATGTAGGCATGCATGGGGCAGTTGTGGCTGAGTGGTTAAAGCAGTCGTCCTCCAATGGAAGATTTGGGGGTTTGATTCCACCAGCAGTTACATGCTGAAGTGTCCCTGGGCAAAACACTGAACCCCTCATAGCCTCCGAACAGTACTGTATGTATGTGGTTAAAATGATGTAGGTTTATGAGTTTAGAACATTGCAAGAGTGTGGGAAGGGTTTCGAAAGACTTAAAATATATATATATATAGATACTAAAATAAACATAACGTCGCTACTTCACAGAATTTCACTTACTGCGGGCGGGTTCAGAACCAAACCTCCACAATAAACGTGGGACTACTGTACTTATATAGCGCATTCCTATCTTATAAAGATTCTCAAAGCACTCTACACTACAATCTGTGCTCTCATTTACCCATTCATACAACACTCTACTATATGTTTTACAAATGATAACCAGGGCTTTACCACATTCATACACTGATGGTGCTGGGTATTGGTCAAAAATTTGCAGTATTGGTACCGGTCCCTTCACTTGGGTGTCGGTTCGTGAATGATACTTTTTTCTGTAATTTTATAATTAACATAAATTCTAACAAGAATAAAATTATGATACACATTACAGTACAAGTCTTGAGTTTTATTTTTCAACTTTGGTATTTTTCCATTCCAAGCAGTTTTCTCGTATAAAAAAAATAAACAAATAATTTTCAGGTCAAAAGACCAGCTACAAACCAGTGACACGTCAGTGTCTAATGCTCACTGCTTCACACTGAGGACCTTTTCACTGAACAGTTTGTCTTCAGAAACATCAACATGTCTGTTTCTCTGGACACAAACAAGCTGCTCCTGGCTGATGGTGTCTCCAGCAGTAGGAAGTGTTCCCTCTGAGGCTGTAGATGATGATTGGTGCACACACAGATATCTGGTTGTCAGTTTGACAGCACTGACATATTGTCCCTCACATCCCACCAGCAGGTCACTGGGTTCACTGAGGTTAGGGTTGATGCAGACTTCTGCACCTCTGTGTCTCTGCCTGGATCTTCTCTGTGGTTCTCTGGGGTTTAGGGCTCTGATCATCTCCCCAATTGACATGAGAACAAAACATCAACAATAACATGGTTGTGTTATTATTGCTCAAAAAACATGATCCAGGCTGAGAGATAAAGACTTAACTGGTCAACAAAATCCTTTACAGCTTACTTACCTCCACTGTAGAAAAAGGCAGCAAACTTTTAACAACAAAGTTTGTGACTGTCCTGTGGCCCCCACCTCACTTTTCTTTTTTCCTTTTGTCCTCCTCACACCAGGGTCAGAGCCTCCTGTGAGGAGAACATAAACAGTGAACATTAGGTAAATAGTTTAACCAGCTGACCCGATGGATGAGCACATTTTTACAAGCTAAGCTTTATCTTTTACAGTCAATCTTTAGTTAGCGTTTGATTTTAGCCACTGCATAGATAGCCATAAAATAAGCTACACACTAATTTAAAGTTAGCGTTACATGGATCCTAGTTTAACTCACCACGGTGCACGTATTAAGTTGCAGTAATGTTAACAAACGTAAACTTAACATCTGAAATCCCAGACACAGAGCCGTCCTCGGTGCAAAGCCGAGTCCGGTCGTGGAGATTTTCAATCAGGCCGTTCAGGCTCTGTAACATCCACAGGCTGGCTTAAATGCTGAGAGGAGGAGGGCTGTGGTCCCCTCTTCTTCCAGTCAAACAGAGCAACTTTCTGCTCATCAGGTGCTTCATCAAGTTAATTGTGTTGCCAACATGCACAACTAGTTCACAACACATATATTGTGGCAAACCACAAGTGGCTATTTGTGGCTATTAATGGTTATGCGGCCTTGCCTTAGTCCCTTGTGAACCCTGTCAGTGGGTGTAACCACGTATGTGTTTTTCTTGGTTTTTCCTGAACGCTGCAAGTTGCAGCACTGGCATTGTCTGTAACATTACAGCCAATCACCGAAACTTGACACCGAAAGACTAGGCATATTTTGATGCTTCGGTCGGTACCATAAAATAACCCACGTTCGGTACTCAGCCCTATACACCGATGGGACACACATAAGCTACTAAACTTTACTTACCAGTACTAGCTCTCCAGAACACAGCAACACAAGCTATGAAGTAAAATCTCTCAGTTCTCGTCCGACTCAGTTCGTTTCTGAAAACCTAATCTGCAGCGACAAGCCCAAAATAATGTTAACTCTTAAACCTACTGATTTTAACAACATACTCATATGTAGCTAATAAATTTTACTTACTTGCTCTCGGGTTCACTACTCAGTCTAGATGTCCATTTCTGGTCCAGTTCATTGCAGCTCTTGAGCGCCAAAGCTCATTTTTGGAGGTTGGGTGGGGACTTTCTGTTGGCTGGCATGGGGGCGGTGGTCGATTTGAGTCAAAGTCTGGATGAAAAAATTCCTGATGGGCTATGGAAACAGCTCTGGAGCTTTCAGCGCGCATCCACGCTTATAAGTCCTTGTGGGCCGGATACCAGCTCTCAAGATTCACAGATGGG